TCCTGGAGTATATCAAAACTCAGACATGGCCATTCGGGCGTCAGCCGATGGTACCTGCCGAGAAACACCGCGGGGGGAAGGAGTGAGTGATGGCGCTCGAGGAGGAATTTACCTCTCTTGCCGTCTGTGCCACCTTTCATCCAAAACCAAGGCCGACACTGATCCCTCCCAGAGACCCCTATCTCTATCTCTATCCATTCCTCCCTATCTCCCTGCCCTTTCCCCCTCCCTACTTACATGAGGTAAGCACTCGGGTCATACACTAATTCCTCCCCCTCCTTCAATTCGTGTTCCATGCCCGGGCAATACACTTTGGGGACCGCACTGGTGGCCGCCTCTTCCGTCTCCATGTCATCCTCGCCGAGCGCCCGGCCTGAGAAAGATATTTGATAGAACGAAGGAAGGGGAAGGAAGGAAATAATTAGAGGGCAAAAGGAAGAGGGGCAAGACGAGGGGCGGCGCCAGAGGGAGCGAGAACGAAAAATGAAAAATACCACACCGTGCTAATCTTATCCACCCCCCTTTTCGCCCGCATTCGTCTCTCCCGTTACCCCTAGCCTGACACCTTTCCTACCTGCACGACCTGCTCTGAACGCTTCCAAGTCCATACCCTCCTCCTCGTCCGAATCAAGCTCCACTACCTCCTCCATCTCCTCCTCCTCCTCAAACTCATCTTCGTATGGATCTTCGAACCGTAAATTATCCTTGGTTTCTTTCTTCTCCTCTCCTTCTCTTCCCCGCCCTCCTCCTTGTCCTCCCCTTGCCAACACATCCTCCGTGCTATCCCCACCACGACTGCGCTTTCCCCCCTCTCCTCCTGTTTTTCCAATTTCTCTGCCTCCTTTCTCAGACTGCGTCGTCACCCTTTTGCTGCTTCTGCTAAGTTTGACCATCGATGAACCTGTTTGAAGAAATATACACGGGTAGGACGGAGGGTAGGATACTTTCCCATCACCACCAGTCAACACGAAGACACGAAAATGAAAAAGAGGGGAGAAAAACAAAAGATGAAAAATCCCGCACAGAGACCGCGTACGACGTGGAAAAACAGCCTCAGCCCCGTGGCCGTGCGGCTTCGGATTAACATAAAAGCCAATGGCGTGCTTAGGCTTGAGGACAGAGGGGCATCGCGCCCGCGGGGACCGTTTCCACCACCCTCGATATTCCCGTCAATAGCCACGAGCACAGGCACGTCGCGCTTGCGTCTCACGCGGGCACTCATGCGTACACACCATGTATTTTATATTCAGGACCGGTGCACAGGCGGCATTGGGGCGTGTTGGGCTTGTGGTTGTGCGTGTTGAGTTGATTCCTCCCGGACGCATCTCACTACCATTACCGCTCGTTGCCTGGAGTGAGCTCCCCTGACGCGTACAGCTACTTCGTTTTGCGCCAGAACCACCAGCTATGCTCTCGCTCTTAGCTAGGCGCAGCTCGATGGCGGTGGTGGCGGGCACGGGGAGAAGAAGCATGGCCACGATAGAGGTAAATTTGACAAGCAGCGGGAGAGGAAGGAGGGCGTGGCATGAAATTCATCATCTGGGCGGTACCAACCACACGCCATTCTATGGACGCCGATGCTTGCATGCTTTTTTATTGCTCATCTTTGCACGTTTGTAGATGGCCTTCACTTATCCTGCTCCTGCCCATTTTTGTCAGCACTTGCGCCTTTTTCTTGCGCCGGCACCGGCTCCCCTCTCATTTCATGTGCCCGGCCTGTCCCTCTCCTGTTTCTTGCACTTGGGACCGTTGAAATGTTGAAATCGTCAGTTCCTACTTTCCCGTCTTTTCTTTGTCCCCCTGTGCAGGTACCCGTGCGGGAGGCGATCAATCAGGCCATTGATGAGGAGATGGCGCGCGACCCCAACGTCTTTTGCCTCGGGGAGGAGGTGGCGCAGTATCAGGGAGCCTACAAAGTAAGAGAGGAGAAATCAAAGGATCGCTGGAAGGGGAGGGGGGAAGGAAGGGAATGAGGAAGGGTGAGCCTGCATGCGGCAGAAGGAATGTGTGAGGGGGAGGAAGGGAAGGAGGAGGGGAAGGGAGGGCAAGAGGGAAAAGGACCTGGCGGGCGCGACAGACTGGAAACGTCTCATTCCCTCCCCGGACGCAGATCACCAAGGGGCTGTATCAGAAGTATGGGGACAAGCGGGTCATCGATACTCCCATTACGGAGATGGGGTTTGCGGGGCTCGCCGTCGGTATGTCGGGGCCTCCCTCCCTCCCTCCCTCCCTCCTTCCTTCCTTCCCTCCCTCCCTCCTTCCCTCCCACCTTCCCTCCCTCCTTCCCTCCCTCCCTCGGGCGTGGCCACGTGTCACTATACCACGGTGCTTCCTACCCACATCGCTGCCATGTCCTCCCTCCCTCCTTCCCTCCCTCCCTTAAGGTGCCGCCTACAAGGATCTGCGCCCCGTCGTGGAATTCATGACCTTCAACTTCTCCCTTCAAGCCATCGACCAGGTCGGGAGGGAGGGAAGGAGGGAG